TAATGAGGTGTCATAACCATTGCACAAGTAAAATCAAAAAAAGATTTATTTTACAGTCTCATACATAAATTAGATAAAAAATTATTCCATCAAAAACATAGGATCCCCCATATTGTCCTTGATACGCCGCCAGAGAATATACAGAAATACCAAAAATAACATATGTATAGATATCCAGATTAGGCCGTGGGAAATTGGTGATAGTCCCACATTGTGGTCTTTCTGGCTGACTTGCGTATCGAGGTTTGGATCTTGATGCGTTTCGCTATTGTTTACTTCCTCCGGGGACCAATATAATTACTTCTTTAATCCAAAAAATGTTGATAACATTTATTTCAAACAATTCATAAACCACTGTTATGGTGACCATCCTGATGGGCAAAAGACACCCCACTACTTACCAAACACCAAGTGCTTTGGGAATACCAGAGGTTCTAGGATACAGAGGACTCCCCAACACATCTGTGTTGGGGACACCGGAACCATAAAAGAAGAGATAACAGGAGAAGACCCAATCCACTTGTCTTTCTTTCAATATTCCTGTACTATCCACCGAAGACAGGGAACTACAAAAATACGTGAAGGTCCTTGTTGGTACATATTACATCATACAAAACACTACTAAGGATGCAAACCATATTTTTAATTAGACATCATATCTTTACAACAACTCCTGTTTGCTAGCAACCTATCCCATTCAAATAAGGATTAACATGCCAAGAGGACAGCAGGAGTAGCATTGCAAGGGTTAATTTTTATTCTCCCTGTAGTTCTTCTTAAATGGGGAAAGAAGCAGTTCTTTTTCTTGGCCCTCTCCCATAGGTTTTTTTAATCACTTTTTTGCATTAACAGAGTTATGCTAGAACGTCAATATAAACTTGAACAATTTGTTTTGTCTTCATGCTTCACTGATGACGGCTTCAATTTTGAGGCTTACCTGTCCTTTAACTGACAGCAATAACATTGGTTCAGCTGTGTCTCTGCTTTGTGATGAGCAATTTGTTTACAAGCTTGGTGACATTGATTAATAGACATGGAGTCATTGAAACGGTGGCAATTCAGCTTTTCCTATAGAATCAGAGCAGACCAGCTTTGTGTGTCCTGCATGTAAACACATTTTTTACTTAATTAACCGGAGTTAATGCTGTTAATATTTCTTCTTGACTGTTCTGTTGACAAAGGACATGCTTGTAAGAGTCAGGTATTTCTACATCATGAAGAAAACATTATACAATTATACATTTCAAGATGTACATATTGTTTGTGCAGCCTGTGCTGTTGTACTGGCACCAAAGACGACAAAATGGCGCTTCAGGATCGTTCAAAAAGGTGGTCACATAGGGTTGCCACCTGTCCAGGATTCACCCGGACAGTTCGGGTTTTGAATGCTCTGTTCGGGTTTCATTGCAGCAGATACCCGGACACAAGGTGTCAGGCAGACCAGGGGCAACCAAAATTAAGATGGGGGCTACTGGCCCCCCACTGGAAATAGTCTCCCCTGTAATATTTGCACATGAATGGGTGGCGCTATTTAGATATGAATAACCCACAACTAACTCTCCCCAAAAAATGTCTGCGCGTCTCTAGAGTGTTCGGGTTTCGCTTGAAGTAAAGGTGGCAACCCTATGGTCACATGGAGGACAGGCAGCCAGGATGGAGGAGGCCATTTCTAAGTTTTGTAGACATTTTTCCCCTTTAAGGTGGCCCTGTCACCAGAGGGATACTTTTTCTCAATAAATGCATGGATATACTTATCTTTCTGACAGCCTGTGTATTCAAAAGCTGTCACTTCTTCAGCTACTGCTTGTATTCTACACTTCTTGATGTGTTGAATGCTGGATCCGCCATCAGCCGCGTTGTTTCCCCCCGCCGGCTCATACATCATTATAGGGTGTACATGCCTGCAGGAGGAAGCATGGTATGCTGCAGGGGGAGCAAATAATTCACCCATCTGATCGGTCAGATATTTGCAGTGGCTTAGGGAGTGGAGAAGTGGCAGCTTTTAAATATACAGGCTGCCGAAGAGGTAGGTATATTCACGCTTCTTTTACAGATGGGCTATTGACTAAAAGTGACCCTATGGTGACGAAGGTGATGAGGTTTGTTTTCTGTTGTTTTAGAAAGTGGAAGAGTTTAATTTTCGGGCAAGTTTTTATTTCCTTTTTCCATTGGGTAGATTTTCTCTTACTTTTTGTCCCACCATGTTGTGACAACTGTACGAAAAATGGGGAAATATTATTGCAACTGGGACTGGAGGGCACAGACAGAAGAAAAAAAAAACCATTGTCAGAAGTTTTAACTCATCCCCATGTTACTAAAATGTGTTATTGTATTTGCCCATGTTCCTGTTGTAGAGATTACCCATCACTTCCTGTCCTGGTATAATGAGGAGACATCTCACCAGTAGGGACAAAGACATCAATTAAAACCTGACAACGGCTGTAACCTTTCTCTACTCTAGGGTGGGGAAATGTATATAGCTCTTACACATCTCCCTCTCTGGCTCTTAGCAACCTGGAACGCTCTGGCCTGGAAAGGGGGTGACGGGCACCCTGCAAACGGCCCTGTATGAGCAGTTATGTCACCAAAAAATATAAACAGTGAGAGATCTGTCCACCACTTACCAAAACATTATATTCTGGTACCAGCCACAAATTTCCCTCCCATCCTAGCTGACATGTGGGATGCTTTTTTCTATGGAGAAAAGGGAAAGGTGTACTCTATGGCCATGCAGCATTTGTTAGCATTTAAAAATAGAGTAAATTACACAAAGATGAGTTAAATTTACAGGATATATTTCATATCCCCACCCCTTGCACTTCTTAGCCACATCTGCTAGATGAAAATTCTCTTTCAAATATATCTGCACTCTGTTACTCCTAAGAACGACGTGGTACAATGACACTTAGCAATCTCTCGCTCTGTGAGGTGGCTCCTGCATTCCATAAATTAGGTGAGTCAGTCTGATTACTGTCCCTATTAAATTTACAATGTCTTCTTTAAGTTTCAGCCCTGAATGTATTTATAGCTTAATTCTCAGAAATGTCCGAACCAAGAAGATGTTTATCTTGTTTTATAAACTAAAAGAGGATTAATAACGGGGATTGGAAAGGTGACCTTTCGAGGGTTGGCTACATGTGTTTTTTTGGATGTCTGCCCAAGTTAATATTGTGTATGTGATGCATTGGACGAATTGATGATATATGGCTCCTTTGGGGTATATGCTACCTGTAATAAGGAATTCTTTGGATGTGGATGGAGTTATGTCATGTCATTAGTGCTGCATTCATTTTAAAAATCTATCCAGTGGATGCTTTGTTAGAAATGTTATTGAGCCATCATGTTAATACATGCATTTTATGGTGGTGGTTTTACATTTGGTTAAACTTCATGTCTGTTTTGTTTTCAAATGCTGCGTGTGAAATTTTTTGTGCAGGTATATGGAAAGGTCCTCACCCACATCCATTTGTAGACAGCGTGAAGGCCATCATATCGCTGAGGGTCTGTTTCTACAGTCAGCTATAGTTATAGGAAGTGCAGTATAACATTTCAGTAGCAGAGAGACCCACAGGTGAAATCTGCAATGACATATTCCAGAGAATGTAATATGGGAACCCTTTGTACCAATAAGTGACTAACTTAAAGAGGTCAAGACTTTAAAATTACAGGACACTTAGGCCTCTCCCCGCCCCCATGTGATGGAGCTGGGTGCCTGTATGAACAGTCACTGTGCACCTCACAGTACTCATTGTAGGGGTAAGGGGAGTGAGTCACATGCTGCCCCATACCCAGAAGTACCAGTTATGTCTTTGTATCCCAGGCCAATAGATCGGTAGGGGAGGAAAGGGAAGTCTCTAAAGTCAGTGCTCTGTTACTATGTATTTTTATGCGTGCATATGTAAGCCCATTATGTACACTCTAAGCTTTGCTAAGCTAAGTCTGGGGTTCTGTTTATAAAACCGAGTTCTTCTGTTTCTACTTGGACGGAAAATTAGGAAACATTTAATATTGAGTGTGGTAGGGTTAGAATTCCTGTCGTATTTTGGATGCCTGTGACACTTTCGCATATTTAGCAGAAGGTGATGGGAGATCATCACCAGAACAAGAGAAGAGGGGGAATTTTCCAACTTGGACACCAGTTCTGGTAACAATGGTCTGAGAAAGGGGTTTTCCTCATATTGGAAAGATTTTTTCTCTCAGTAAATGGCAGGAAGTGAAGGAAAATTTCCCCAATTGGGCACAGATAGCAAAGAAACCATGATATTGCTATAAATATGTCTTTTAATCCTTCCCTACTATATCTGCAGTCAAAAACAATCAGTTTAGGATTTTATATATATATATATATATGTATATATATATATATATACACACACACTTTTTTTGGGAAATATTGAAAAAAACTTTTCTCAAATCAAGTCGATTCATTATAGTTGATAATTAGTTTATTATAGTTGAGGCTTAGTAGGGTGGAGTGCTGCTAGGGGGAGGTTTGATTTTTCTAATTTGGAAGATGTCCTCTTTTGAAGTCATTATATTTCTAAATATTTTACAAACTGCGGCCTACGGGCTCTATGCGGTACCTTGTCTTCCTTTACCTGTCCCATGAGGCAATATTCTTCCCATTCACACCAACGAACAGTAGGGTACTATTTCTCCCATTGACACCAGCCAACATTGGAGCATTTTTGTCCTCCCACTGACACCAAGGATGGGGCACTATTTCTCATACTGATACCAAAGATGGGGCACTGCTCCTCCCACTGAGAACAACAATGGGGCGCTATTTCTCATACTGACACCAAAGATGGGGCACTATTTCTCAGGCTGACACCAGTGATGGGGCACTACTCTCTCCAAGTCTGAGGAACCATATACTGGCCGTTTCTTTAGAAAATTTGAGAACCCCTTTTATATTGCCTATACAAAAACCTAATGCACATGTTGATGTAAATGCCCATAAAGCACAGCTTGATGTTCACTGTATTCTTTTCTTACAGATAATAAATTCCTTGGTCCTTCTTATACTGCTGAGTGCCCTCGCTGATCCAGACCTCTACCACCTTCCAAGCAATGACTTGAGGAATGAATTTTATTATATGGATGAAGCCAGTAAGTATATAAAATCATTATAACAAAAGAAAACTTGTAGCTATTCTGCACTTAGACAACTAAATATCACCTATTTTTTACAATCACTTTTCCTTTTTTTTTTTTTTTAAAGGCATTAGTCATTATTTTTTGTGTGGAGTCACACACAAATGGTGCCCAGTGTGTTGTATCGAGGTGCATTGGGAAGTTCAGTGTGCTGCATTTTCCCTCTAATGGCATTTTTAAATCAAGTTAATTGGAAAGTTTTATTGAAAATGCACCAAACACATTACGTAATGTGTTTTTATTGCTGCCAGTGTCACCGTTGAGAGGATTTCCCCTCATTTTATACTTTGACAGCCCTTACCACACAGGAAGTTGGAAGGCATTCCCACACTTCCTGTTTTGTTTGTCCTCATTTGGGAGATTTATCCCAATTTCCAGACTTTCGGTCTATATGTGGTTGGTGTCAAAGACAATAAAACGTTGACAGGGATAACTCTCCCACATGAGGTCAAAGACAATAAAATGTTGTCAGAGGTTCTAGCCCTTCCAAACTTTATGAAAAACTAAAAAAAAAAAGCTGGGGCTTGAGTAAGGCTTTAAAGGACAGGTTCACGTTAGTATATAAACACCTCATCCCTCTCCATTCTAATCTATCACAAGGTTATCTCGCACCCAACGAGGTTACTATTTACCTCTTTTAGACCTCTTTCAGATAACAACGCCCTCCTGTGGTGTTTACGGCCTTGGTGCAGAAATCTTATCCAACATTGTCTGCACCTGCTAAGTAGGCACATGGTAGGAAAGTTAGCTTAGAATAATAGACATGAGGGCTGGGCGGAGGGGGGTGTTATTCTAAAGTGAACCTGTCCTTCAGCCCTCATTCACACCTCTATGATGCCACATCACAATTATCCTGTCTCAAGAGCTGCTTTATGCTTTGACATACCTTCTTTGGACTTCATTCCTTCTGGGCTGTATAGTCACAAGATGATTCAGATCCATCCACAGATAGCTTAACTGTCCAACAAGACACGGAAGCTTAAATCCGATGTTGTTTTACTTTTCAAAGTAAATGCAGAGAATGTTCAATGGTCACAAAGTGTGAAAAGACAATAAATCTTCCAAGCCAAGTGAGGACTTGTGTTACAATGAGGGAACATGGAAGAAGAAGGAAGGGTCCATCTAAGACTATACCAACTGACACTAAACAGGAGAGGAGGACACTGTGAAATACCAAATGCATACAGAAACACAAGTTGTAATAGCACTAATCTACCTTTAGATGTCAGAAACATACTATAGCATTATGATAAGGAATTAATGCACAGCAGAGTAATCGAAACAGCAGAAAGAGACAGAAAACAGCATTGGCTGTAGCACCACAGTGATAGTGCTGCAAGGTGCGCTTGTGGTGTGCTGCAGTAGGGCAGTACATTCATTGAATGGGCTGCCTACTGCAGCTAAATGGCACTGAAAGAAGTGCATGCACCTTCATTTGTAATCAAATGGCACCACTTTACATGGCAATAGTTCACCATGCAATGTGGTGCAATACAATGCAAATTTGATGGCTGCATGCGTTGGGGTGACATTAAGAAATAATGGCACCGCAGAACACCTAACATGCAATGGTAATAATGGTAATGGTAATAATTAATGGTAATGCACCAAAAGACACTTGTAGTGTGTTTTATTGTTTTAATACATTATACTATTTGACCAGCAAAAATTATTTGCATTGTCCACCACAAATGTAGGGAAAAGAGGTATAATAACATCTTGATGAATGTTAAAAATTATGTGAATGACGTCTCAGACAAGTACAGCATGAGCATTCGTCAATGTAAGATAATGCACAGCGTGCTATGACATTCCCAACATTTGGATACTATATTTTTTTCTGAGAAAGCACATATTTCACACATAAGATCATACACACCTGCTGGCAGTTTTGTGTACATACAATAAGTTGCTGCCTCTCAAATTGTTCACATCAAGCGTTCTTCTGTCACTTATCATTATGTAACCAGAGGGTGAGAAATGGCAGCTGCAGATGTTTGATTGCCATAAGAAACATCTCCATTGAGTTTTCTTTGTTTTGTTAAGACTGAATGATTGAAATGTACAAATAAGAATCATCTCGTGGCAATGGTTACTTACGTTTGAGAGAGATTTTTAACATAGTTGGCCAGGGTGGGTATTGACATGAATTTTGTAACCATTGGTGTTTAATCCTTATATCTAAAACTCAAGTCAATTGAGAGAGACAAAACAATTGCAAATTTAAAGTGACACTAAACTCAGCAGTTAAATCTTAAAAATGCATCTAAGTACCTTAACTATTAAGAAAAAAGTATTTTATTTGTGTATCACTCGGCTGTAGATCCTCAAATCATCTCTGAATTGGTGCTGACATTGTCCTTCCTTCTGGAGAATGGCTACTTTTCTTCCCAATGAAGCCTGTGTGTTTGGTGAAGTAGTCACCGCTCCAAACCCACTCCTGGGATGAACTACAATCTCAATACAAATTAGTAAAAGTAAAACCTGAGATTGTAGTCCATCACAGGAGTGGGTTTGGAGCGGTGACTACTTTACAACACACACAGGGTTCATGGGGAAGAAAAGGGTGAGACCATTTTTTACAGCCTGCAGGTATGCAAATTCTTGTATTCACCTCCTTCTCTTCATCGGGGTTACTCTTAGTGAGGACATGATCCTGGTGATATCTTCCCTGTAATCTCCCACCTAAACAATCCTACTCCCAGTGCAAACCATGTGGAAACCTTGTGCAATAAAACAAAGCCTGTAAAGTCTAGAAGGCTACCACTCTGACTGGTATCTGGTGTGAGTGCAAGGGATTATGGGAAGTAGGGATGCACAGATACTTTTCGAGTACCAGTGCAGATACTTGGCATTTTCATGAGAACTACCAGGGTTGCAGCGGTTGCAGCTAGGACCTGGCTCTGGCGCTCCACCACTGTCCTTAAATCATTAGTCTGTGTTGTTTTAGAAAAACTGTCACATGACAATAAACAAAAATGTATCAGTACTCGTACTTGTAACTACTCTGCAAGTACCAGTACTCGTACTCGCAAAAAAAACTGGTATCGGTGCATCCCTTTATTTATATTTATAAAAACAAAATCGTACATTAAAACAGAGATGTACAAATCCCAGGAGCTCCGTGTGCTCCTTACAAATGACAGCTGCCTCCTAACTTTTGAATTTTTCTAGTCTAGTCTTGGAGCTCAAAAGTATCGGTACATGTACTCGTACTTGTACCGAGTACTGTACTTGGTATCTGTGCAACCCTAATGGTAAGGTATATTGCAAGGGATTATGGGATAGTATATTGTAAGGGATTATAGGAAGGTATACTGTATTGCAAGGGATTATGGAAAGGTATATTGCAAGGAATTATAGGAAGGTATATTGCAAGGAATTATAGGAAGGTATATTGCAAGGAATTATAGGAAGGTATATTGCAATGGATTATGGGATAGTATATTGCAAGGGATTATAGGAAGGTATATTGCAATGGATTATGGGATAGTATATTGCAAGGGATTATAGGAAGGTATATTGCAAGGGATTATGGGATAGTATATTGCAAGGGATTATAGGAAGGTATATTGCAAGGGATTATGGAAAGGTATATTGCAAGGAATTATAGGAAGGTATATTGCAAGGAATTATGGAAAGGTATATTGCAAGGAATTATAGGAAGGTATATTGCAAGGAATTATGGAAAGGTATATTGCAAGGGATTATAGGAAGGTATATTGCAATGGATTATGGGATAGTATATTGCAAGGAATTATAGGAAGGTATATTGCAAGGAATTGGGTTATGGGAAGATATGTGCAGTAAATAATACAGAAACACTTTTTGGTAAATTTCCCAGCATCATTTAAAATACTATGGGTGGACCTAATACAATGTTGAACCAAACAGGGGGGTTTTAGTTGCCTGCAGCTCCACTTGAAACAATAAACTGTCCCAAACTGGCTTTTTTCTTGTCATGTTCCAGTAGCTCAAATATGCAAAGGGGTACGGATTGGTGTGAGACTTGCCCAGTGCCTAATTGTCCAAATTGCCGTAAAACCTTTCTCTTATGTCACCTGGGTGGTTGTGTTTTATTAATCTGCACTCTGTCCTGGTTGTTGTCTGTCTGACCTTTCTTTTTGTTTCTTTTTTAGATATGTGCATCGCTACTTCAGTTTCACTCTTAATGATTTTAATCTGTGCAATGGCAACATATGGTGCCTACAAGGTAAACATTACTTAGTAAACATCACTAACATTTTGTAGAAGTGTCAACTGGTTTAAAGGGGAAAAAATGTGACATAAATTAATTACTTTGTTGTATAATTATTATTATTATTTTTAGTAGTAGTAGTAATAATAATAATAACATTTATTATTATTATTATAACTCAGTTTGATATTTAAAATTATAAATAGAGCAATTTTTTTAGCATGTGAAAAGTTTTTACCAATTTTTCAAGACTCCAAAAGTGCAATAGATACAATACTTATACAATATATACGTTCTTGAGCAGTGAAGCAAAGGGGCCAGCTTCACTGAGACTGAGGGGCACACACTGTATAAGAAAGTGTTGCTCAAATCAAAGAGTTCCCAACCAGGTAATAGTCTAAATGACAAACTTTAATGACAACCTTTAAAGGAAACCTTTATTGAGGGAAATGTGGGGCTGCCATTGGTGACTTTCTTCTAAAAAATACTAGTTGCCTGGTTTTCTCAGGCTTTAGTACTTTGAGCCACGGTCCCTCTATCCCAGAACAATAATGCAGCTAGTAAAATCAGAACCCCTGATCTGTGTTATTGTCCTGGATCAGTGACTCAGAAAGTATTGAGGTCTTTGAGGTCTTTGGAACTAGCAGTTTCAAAGAAGAATTCAGTAATAGCTGCCTACAAATTTTTTTAGTATTGGTTTTCTTTATGCTGGGTAAACTTAAAACTGAATATAAATAGCACAAATATGCGGACAAGGCAGATTCTGATAGAAGGAGAAAGCAGAGTGAGCAAAGAAATGACCTCATCACTTGTTTGCTGCTGTTACACGATCCATTTATCAGGCTGTGGTGAGGCGTGGACTGCTCTGTATTCCTTTTACAGTCTTAGACCCCGTTCACATTGAGCGATTTATCGCGCGGTAATTCCCGCGATATCGCTGCAAATTACCGCGCGATATCGCGCTCCAATGCAATCCAATGGGGCAAAGGGTCCTGCTGTCGCGGGTCGTGTGTCGCTACAGCAGGACCCTTTTTGGAGCGGATTTAGCCGCGATTCAAGCTTGCTCAATGCAAGCTTGAACGCGACATCGCGCGGCAAATCTCGCGATGTCACGCAATATGCAAATCGCGCGACAAACGCGCGATTTGCATATCGCGCAGTGGGAACGGGGCCTTAGGCCTTAGGGTATATCACGGGAATTACCGCGCGATAAATCGCTCAATGTGAACGGGGCTTAAATCTGTAAACACCCAGCTGTGTCATGTAATTCTCAGGAATAAATGGAAAGACATATTAATTTGGCAGGTAAAACAGCTCCCATATATGTATTTCATCTGTATATTTAGATGTTTGCCTGGAGTTCCGCCTTAGACTTGTTATATACTTAATGTGTGCTTTTGTTTCTCTCTCTTTAGCAACATGCTGCTTGGATTATCCCATTTTTTTGCTACCAGATCTTTGACTTTGCTCTGAATTCCCTGGTTGCTGTCAGTGTGCTCGTCTATCCCAACACAATTCAGGACTACCTGCAGCAGCTGGTAAGCAGATAACACATTGTTTATAGCTCCATATTATTATATACTATAGGGGTGAACTGTAGGATTCTGGTGAGTTCAGCAGATAATGTAGAAGAGGTGAGTGAAACTTGCCATTGAGGACACTGAGCCTTGTGCCAATTTACAATGGTGAAATTTATCCCTGCTCTAGACCAATATGCTCCCTAGCCACCCAAGTCACAAGCCCACTCTGACACAAAACTCCTTTACGTAGTCGCTGCTAAGCTCTGTTTTATGTATTGTGGCCACACTATGGTCAGGTATCAGTGGACCTCAGTTGTAACCAAATGCCTTAGTATAGCTTATCCTAAAACATACAATGTACAAGAATGTGAGTGCAGGTTGTTGGGTTTTTGTACCCAACAGCTTTAACATCCTATCCTATATCTTATAGCCTCTCCTATCTTATTCTATAGCCTATCCTATCTCCTATTCTATTCTATTGCCTATTGTATCCTATCCTATGATTTCCTTACCTATACTATCCCATATCTTCTCCTATCCTATAGCCTATCCTATCACCCACCTGTTTTATTCTATATCCTATTGTGTCCTATCCTATAATTTCCTATCCTATCATATGATTTCCTTACCTATACTATCCTGTATCCAATCCTATCATATATTCTGTCTTATTCGATCCCATATCCTATCCAGTCATATAGCCTATCTTATCTCCTGTCCTATCTTGTATCCTATTGTATCATATCCTATAACCTATATTACCCTATATCCAATCCTATCCTATCCTATCCTATATCTTATCTTATAATCTGTCCTTTCCCCTATCCTATCTTGTATCCTATCTCCTATCCTATAGCCTACCCTATTCTATAGGCTATCATATCCTATCTCCCGTCAGATCATATCCTATCCTGTATCCTATCTTCTATTCTATATACTATCCAATATCCTATCCTATAGCTTATCCTATATCCTATCTTATATTTTATCCTATCCTAGATCCTATCCTATATTTTATCCTATCTTATGTCCTATCCTAGTCTATATCCTATCATTAATGCTATCCTATATCTATAGCCTATCCTTTCTCCTATCTTATATTCTATCATATATCCTTTTCTATATCCTATCCTACCAATTCCTTTATCCTATGATTTCCTATATCTTATTCTATCCTTTCCTATATCCAGTACTATCCTATCCTATATTCTGAGCGCCACCCAATATGGTGCAGGCTTCTGGGCCACATCACCCGCTGATCTAAGGTAAGTACAAGGGGGTTTATTTAGCATAGGGAGAAGGGTGCTTAGGATTAAGTAAGTTGAAAGTACAGTTAGCCTTTAGGCCCCCGTCAGCCCTATGCATTGCAGTAATGTGCATTTAACTGAAAAGAGTAACACATAGCACATGACACTGTGTGTGGTGCATTGCAGCATTTATTTAGAATGGCACCCCAGTGCACAAGTACACTGCAGCGCACCACAATGCACTGCCTTGCATTGTAGTGCACAGCATAAAAAAAGAAGCAATGGATTGGCATTGTGTAAAGAGGGCCTTGAAGCCAAACATTTACACACCGCCCTCATAAGTTATCACTAAAAAGCCAGATGTTTGTGGAAGCCTGCAAAATATCAAAATCTTACCTTGCATCATAGTGGCTCCTACACATAACGCTGGTCTTCTGAGCGCAGTGTAGAGTGAGGGATTTTATTTATCACATCCCCATTCATCATCGCTACTTATCAATTCACAAAAATGCCTTGTATAGTCTCAAATAATACAAGATTTGGAGGAGAAGAGACTATGTCAGATTCCTGCCCTCTCCTCCTCCAATCACAGAACACCTTGCATTCTTTGAGAAAAATACAAGGAATTTTGTGAATGGGCAAGTAGCAAGGAGGATCGGGGATGTGACTGGCGTACTTCACTGATCAAGTCACATCCGTCGCTCCCTGCAGTGCCCAGAAGACCAGTGTTACGTGTAGGAGCTGGCATGCTGCACGGGAAGAGTTTTATACTTTACGGCAGCCCTCCACACATATTTTTAACAATAATTTACACACCCGGTGCATGGTGTAAATGCCCAGAGTTTGCCTTTATTATTTTGATCTACACTGCTAGCCATGTGATGTGGAGACTATTAAGGACCTTGCCCCCACTGTGCCCATCTAAACCACCCTTTCCCTCCTCCGCTGTATACTCACACCATTCTGTCACTGGCGCATTGTTTACCTGTGGTTGGTGATTCTTCTACTTCCCGCCACATATGCAATAAATCCCCCAGACTGATCTGTCGCCTTGCCCCATAGAAGTCTATGGGGTTCTACTGAGCATGCATAGAACATGGAACCGGGACCCAGTATTTGGTGACAGTTTTGCTAATCTACTCTAATCTAGTGCTCCCGCACACACCAACAATCAGCTCCCAGCACAGAAAGTCTCCTATCGCTAATAATTTCTAGATCGCATGAAAGCCACAAATAAGCTATAAGTGACAGGAGACTTCCTGTGCTGGTAGGTGATTGTCAGTGTCTGTGAAAATCACTTCAAGTAAGAGAACATCTGTTGTTGCTAGGCCCACTCTGGGGGTAGTGAAGGGTCTCTGGGATAACCCAAAATGGTGCCAATACCTGACACATGGGCGTTAGTGGCAGGTAAGTTAGAGCATTGTGTTGCTGCTGTGCATTCACAGTAACATCAACATTTAAATACAACATTTAATCTGGTGCTATCCAAAACAGCCATACACAGTGGGAAGCATATCTCATCTCTCTTTGATAAATTTCCCATCACTTCCCATGCCAATGAGCGTAGATTGCCTAAATATAGGTTAACTGAAAGTCAAATTTGGGTGAGGGCATGTCCCTGTTTTTCATTTTTAAAGGTTGCCTTATGGGTGCCTCTTGGAGATAAGATTCTTACATTTCCACCTCTTTAGTCTACTCTGCCTTTTTGCTTTGCTATCATTCTTATTTGCCTAACTGATTGATAGTTTGACTATTGGTTCAGTGTTCCTCACCTCTTATATCTCTTAGTAGCAGAGTTGAGCTCAGATTAAAATATTTGATCTGCACTCCAACCATCTAAAATATAGGTGATGACTACGTTCCTCTTGTGCTTGTTGTCATAGAAGGAAACCAGTTCTTGGTCTAGTAATTGAGATTATTTTAGGCCATAAATCAAATTCAATGCAGCGGAGGTGTCATTTGTGACCAAGCATCATGAGGTCAGATGTAGCACTACTCAGATGAATACTTAACCTTGAAGCGTGCTTCTATGACTTGACATGAGGTTAAAGCATAACGTTGTGTCTTAGTGACCATGACAAATAAAAAGGCTTTCCAGTGCTACAACACCGCAAGAATCTGATTTTATGGCTATTTTGGTAATGAGTTTTTGTTTAATTCATTTACACATGGATCTGAGCCAGCAAGCTCTTATGTCTGGCTGTCATATTGTGTTGGATGGGTTTTAAGGATCTTGCCAAATAGTTACCAGCTACCTAATGTTCTTCCTGGAAACCACAACTGTTATTTGTGTTTAGTTGGACTGCATGTGTCATAAAGTGTTTTCCTATAGAGCAGTGTTCCCCAACCCCCGGTCCGCGGACCGGTAGCGGTCCGCGGATCAAATGGTACCGGGCCGCACAGTCTCAGTGCGGTCCGGTCATGCAATATATGGTAGTGCACGGTCCCGGTGTTCGAACACCGGGGCCCCGCACTGCCGACGGGCTTCACAGTGAGGGGGCGGGTCCTGTGACTCACCTCCCCTCCCGGCCGCGTCTATAGTAACAGGCGGCGGGAGGGGAGGTGAGTCACAGGAGACGTGTGTGTGTCACACGCCCCGCCCCGCCCCCTGCAGTGAGTGCACACATCGACACATGGCTGCTGCTCCTGGAAGGGTGAGTCTGAGCGGGGGAAAGGGGGGGTGTCTTACATCATGTCATTAGACGTGGATTATAATGGGGAATATTACACTGTAATGTTCCCTATTATAATCTATTTCTCTGTTATGTACTGCTATTTTATGTAATTAGACAAGTGGATTATAATGGGGAATATTACACTGTAATGTTCCCTATTATAATCTATTTCTCTGTTATGTACTGCTATTTTATGTAATTAGACAAGTGGATTATAATGGGGAATATTACACTGTAATGTTCCCTATTATAATCTATTTCTCTGATTAAATGATTACAGGTAGGCATGTGATCTATCAAAGTTTGAGACTAGGTTAGAATGTGTGACCAGTGACGTGGTCACACATTTTAACGTAATCTCGCCCAGTTTTTCGGTGGTGGAATAGGTGAAGAATTCCAACGCTTTAATTTTTTGGTGTAACTGTATTTTATTTTGAAGGCATTTTTAAATACAATTAAATAAAAATTATTAAATCAAAAGAATCTAAAATATAAACAATCAACGTCCCCCCCTCAGCGGGCCACGGTGAAATGATCAAACGTTGACTGGTCCACGGCGATAAAAAGGTTGGGGAGCACTGCTATAGAGGACATCTGGCCCTGTTTTCTTTACATGTATATCTCTGCCCCTTTCTGACACCAGACATTTTTGTGATCTAGCGAGGTAGAATAGTCTTTTTCAATGACATGACTTACAAACTGCAGACTTAGCAAAAGCTGGGCGTTAATTAAAAATGTGCCTGATTTCACAGAGGGTAGAGATGCAGCCGATGGAGGAATATTTTCATTTCATTTGAAATTCATTAATCATAGGGTTTCATTATAAGTCATCCCATGGTAAGTCTTACTGTTTATTTAAGTGGTAAAGCAGCCCACAGCCATAGTAAAACGTCTGCTACCCACCATCATGCAGCCGACCACTGTGCTTTGTGTATAATTAGCAGTCCTCTCTGCTGCGGTCCGAAAGAGCCCCTGTGAGTTTGAGCTGCAGCCTTCCAGTCAGTACGGGTACATGAGCTTTGCTGAACAGAAGGCTCTAGCTCTAACTGCGCAAGTTAAAAAAATTCCATCAAAAGGTTCCTATGAAAATCAGGAT